AGAGCAGCTAATTATAACACTGTTGAAATTACGAAACTAGAAACCATTGAAACTAAAATGGAGAAGCTTATTATAACATCCAATTTTTAAGTTGAATCGTACATTACTACACTATTCTTATACCATAGAGATCCAGTAAATGGTTACCGTTATGCTTGAGCTTTTAGGTACAAGAGCAGCTAATAGTAATAGAGTTAAATCCAATGCAATTCTCAAAGTGCTTCTACAAAAGCTTTTAGATACTCGTAAGCTAGATTACTAGAATTATGTCTCAGAAATTCAGAAGCTAAATTGACCATAACTAGAATTGAATTTCATGAGCCTCGTAGGAAGTCAAAGCAATTTTAGGACTCAGTACCTGATTCGCCTTCGGCGAGCTTCTCCAACTTGGCGCCAACCAAACGCCGCTGATCGACTCCACCAGCTTTGAGCTCGTAGATCACCTAATTCGAATCCACAGCAGAATTGAGCAATTAACACAAACTCACGAACTGAAGAAAACGAAGAAATGACGAGAGAGAGAGAGAGAGGGGTACCTGGCGATGTTCCCAGTTCCAAACAGAAACGTGATCTGAGGCATCAGCAGTGACCAGCCATGGATGCGTGGGATGCAGCTGAATCTTGACGATCTTATCGTTCGTCGGCCTGAACGCTCTTAACCGCAACATTGATTGGTGTTTCGATTGAAATGCGAAACGGATCGATAAACAACGACCTTGCTCGAGTTTCAGATCCAACAGCACATTATGTTAAGCCCTAAACAATGAGAGAAATAAAACAGAGATGGTTTGGTGCCTCCAAAATGCCAAATGCTAGCCACCGTCTCTTTCTCTCTTTTTAGGCTTCTGATTTCCCTCAACAATATGCAGGAAAATTTTAAAATTTCTGCAAAAGCTATTACAGAAGAAATTTACAATTTTAATTACAAAATCGATTTTGTATTTTGAAAGTGTTCGGAAATTTAATTGATTATTTTGAAAAAATTTGGATTTTTTTTTTACAAATTTATAAATAAACCAAATCCTAGACATGTATTTATAAAAAAAATCCAAATACTATTTAAACATAGAAACACACCCAAAGTCAACAATTGTATATTTTTTGGGTGTGTTTATAAATAGGTTTTGAGTGTGTGTAATGATGGGTTTTGGGTGTGTTTATAAAGTGTTTTGGGTGTTGGGTTTTTTTATAATTTCAGTTCCCATTTTGGGTGTTTTAGTGAAACTCCTTTTTTTTTTGGAGTTTCACTAAAACACCCAAAATGGGAGTTGAAATTATAAAAAAACTCAAGCACTATTTAAACATATAAACACACCCAAAACTCATCATTACACACACTCAAAACTCATTTATAAACACACCCTAAAAGTTGACTTTGAGGTTGATTTTGGGTGTGTTTCTATGTTTAAATAGTGTTTGAGTTTTTTTATAAATACATGTCTAGGATTGGATTTATTTATAAATTTGTTTTTTTTTTTCCCTCGAGGTCATTTTTCATTAGCTATTATTATTATTATTACAGTTTAAATTGGTTTAATTAGTCGACTTTGTCCGTCGTGCTGCTAATTTCTAGTTAATTTATTTCCCCCTATGGGCTGCTTTTTTGAGTGCAACCAAAATGAATGAGCCCCCTTAGAAACTTAGTGCCCATTTGTAACGATTTTGGACAATGTTTTCAAAAATGTAAATAAAAAACAGATTTACATTTTCAAGATTCAATAATTACTTGGGTTAATCGTTGGTCTAATAGCTTATTTGGAAAACGTTTTTAGAAAATAAAAACAGTTAAAACATGTCTGGTACTATGATTTGAGAATGGCAAAAATAAAGAATATGTAACTTTAATTAAAATGAATTATGTAATTAATATATGAGCTATTTTTCAAATGAATTTTTGTTAATGCCTCATCTTAAAAAAACATTTTAGTAAATAAAATAATATAGAAAATTTGGGAAAAGTCCAATTATTATTACAAAAGTTGAGTGTAATCCACGCATTTTGAGATTTATTTTTTGATCATTGAGGTGATGGGATTTTGAATTTAAGATCTCTTCTATTATAGGAAAAAGAATACCACTAAACCAAGATCTAGCAGTGCAACGAGTACCATGACAAATTACTTGGTTCAATGGTTTGTCACGAAGGACACGTGGGAATTAATTAGTGTTTTTTGGTAGACTGAATGAATTAGTCATGGACTGCTAACCGCCTCATTGAGTCATTGCTGTTTATCTCTCTTTTCTGTTTTCCATACAAGGATCACAAAAGGAGTGTCACCATGGAACATTTATCATGTCAATGTTTCAGTGACTTTCAATCTTTCTTAGAATTCTATTACATTAGATATTTTTTCAGGTATTTTTCTCTCTTTCTCTCACACATTGTTATGCACATTCAGAGGCCAAGCAATTTGTGATCCCATTTTGGAATTGAATTGAATTGTCATCACCTTCAGTTTCCTGGATTGTTTTCTGCTGGGTTTCTCAATTAAAAATAATGCTTTTCAGAAACCCAAACCATTGCAAGAATGAATCTTCAGTTTTCTTTTTTTATTGGTCTCTGCAACCAATTGAAGCTTTGAGTGTCTGAATCCAAATTTCTTGTAAATTCTTTTTTTTCACTGTTATTTGCAGATACCCAAAAGAAAACTTAACATTATTGCTTCCTAATAAGTGCAATGTGCACCTTGTCTCTCCATAAATCTTTTCTGTTTTCAAATGATACATTTCCTTTACAGGATCAGGTTTCACATGCGAACCTCACTATACATACCTATTTATAATTAGTTTGCAATTTGGAACCTTGGATTAGAGTATAACTGAGAAATTTAATGCAAATTTCTGGTTCTACTGGTTGAAAGGGCTTTCCTTGTGGCTGAAGTTACAAGAAACCGAAATGCCGGCTTCGAGAAGGTTCTGATCTATCTTTATGAACTTCCACAGAAATTATAACGTTTTTGTTATCTCAATTTGAGTTAAGATGAATGCTCTATTGCTTCATGGAGCTAATAGTTTGTTTTTCATCTCTTTGTGCTTAAAACCTTCACCTATTAAACTGCAGCATGGATGAGAATCTAGGATTCCAGTCTGGACTTTCCAGACCAGGGCTGAATCCCCCATCAGTTCAATTTGAGAATGGATTTTGTGAAGCTAGCTCAGGACTCATCCGAGGTGGATTGGGTGCATATGGAAAGAGAATTTGTGGGTCAAGTTCTCAGTATGTGCAAAGCAATGTAAGTTTTATCAAACCCTGCACTGATTTTGGAACCGAAATTCGAAACTACAAACTGATTCCACATCTACAAAGATGGATGATAACCAGTTGTGGTATGATGTTTAAGACAAATGATGTGATAAAATGTTTTCTGTGATGTCATTTTGTTTCTTTACTATTTATTCCCAAATGAGCAGATATGCAAGTACTTCTCAGATCCTCAATACTACTTCCAAGTGAACGCTCACTATGTCAGGAACAAACTGAAGATAATTTTGTTTCCATTTCTGCACAGAGTATGTAGAAATTGAACTCAAGGCTGGTCACAAACAAGTTTGAATTCATAACCAAGTTGTAGGAACATGTGTTTAACTTCTAAATCTCCTTTTGTTTAGGGGCATTGGACGAGGAGAACGGAGCCAGTTGGAGGCAGGCTTTCTTATAACCCTCCAATCACTGACATACATGCTCCAGATTTATACATTCCATTCATGACATTTGCAACATACTTGGTTCTTGCTGGCATCTCACTAGGCCTCTCTGGGAAGTAAGTCTAGAGCATCCCAAAAATCCAATATTTTAGCATGAAATATGTTTCGACATTTTTTATTCCTGTGCCGTGCCAGATTTAGCCCGGAAGCCATAAATTGGCAGTTTGTGAAGGGGATGGTTGGCTGGCTGCTTCAAGTGATGCTGCTCAAGGCATCGTTGTCTTCACTCGGGGGCGGAGAGGCACCTTTGCTGGACATGATAGCATATTCCGGTTACACTTTCACAGGGCTGTGTGTGGCTGTTCTAGGGCGAATCACATTGAGCTATGCATACTACTTGATAATCATATGGACATCCATGTGCTCAGGCATCTTCCTGGCAAAGACAATCAAGATAACTTTGTATGCTGAGCTCCATAGTTATGATGCAAACATGCATCACTATCTCTTGCTTGGTATCGCATTTTCACAGTTCCCGTTGATTATCTGGCTCAGCAACCCTACCGGCAATTGGCTTTCCTGAATCTGCTGTTTCGATGCAAATATGCCCCGTTGCTCAGATCTTTTGTAGTAGCAGCAGCATACTGTCCCACTTGAATGAACATTTTGTTGTGCATGGCTAGGACTTGAATTCTTTTAAACCTGTTTGCAGGAGTTTAAATGTAACCTAGTACTAATCTAATCTATAGTGTTGCTCCAGAATTAGATTAGTGATTTAGTTATACAACTTCGTTGTATTTCATAACTTAAATGATTGCATTACTCTTCTTGTGTTGGTTCCTAGTTAAAATTTGTGATTAAATTGGAGTACACCGATTACAAATTTTACATCAAAATAAATTTCCCTAAATGCCATTAGGCACTCTTCTACATGTTATTTTATTACTGATCCCATTGTTAACCGCATATCTCACAAAGAATGTCGAATAAAACTAATTATATTCTACGTAGTATGGTTAACTGTCGATTTACCCCCTGAACTTGTATGCTACTTTCAATTTACACCCTCAACTTTTGTTATGGAAAATTAAGTACACGAACTAATTTTTATTGTCAATTCCACCCTCCTTCGTCCCCTTCCGCCGTCGTGTACTTAATTTTTCTATAAAAAAAATTGAGGGTGTAAATTCAAAGTAGTGTACAAGTGATGTGGAATATATAGGCATTTTAAAGTAGATTTCACTTATATAATTACCCTTATGTTTATTGAGGAAAAGGGAGTCGAACAAAAAAGCTCGAGTGCAGAGTTGTATTTTTATTGATTTTTAATTATTGTAAATCTATTGATAAGAAAAAAGAGTAGCTGTTTGGACCCTGAGCCGCGTTTCCTGAACATGAGTTTTTCAACGACCGCGGTTACAGGGAACTCAATATTCCCGCGAAATTCAAATTCAAGACCCAAGAATTCTCAAAACCGGAAAGAAGTCATCTCTCTGTTACAGAAATGCAAACACGTTTATCAGATTCAACCAATACATGCCAAAATCATAAGAAATGCCCAAGGCCAAGACCCATTTGTGATCTTCGAGCTTCTTCGGCTTTGCTCCAACCTCAACTCCATCGACTACGCCAACAAGATTTTCCAGCAAACTAAAACCCCAAACGTCTACCTCTACACTGCCCTCATTGATGGGTTTGTGTCGTCTGGTTGTTACCTTGATGCAATTCGCCTTTACTGTCAAATGGTGAATGAGTTTATTTTGCCGGATAACTATGCCATCACCTCTGTGTTGAAAGCTTGTGGCTTTGGGTTGGCTTTGGAGGTGGGCAGAGAAGTCCATGGCCAGGTTTTGAAGCTTGGGTTGTCAACGAATAGATCAGTAAGGATGAAGCTTATGGGTCTTTATGGGAAGTGCGGTGAATTTGAACGTGCACGGCAGGTTTTCGATGAAATGCCTGAAGGGGATGTTGTTGCTTCATCGATTATGATTACTTCTTATGTTGATTATGGATTGGTTGAGGAGGCAAATGGTGTTTTTAATCGGGTTAGAACAAAGGATACGGTTTGTTGGACTGCAATGATCGATGGACTGGTTAGGAATGGAGAGATGAATAGGGCTTTGGAGATGTTTAGGGAGATGCAGAGGAATAATGTGACGCCTAATGAAGTTACCATTGTTTGTGTTCTATCTGCTTGTTCACAGTTGGGAGCGTTGGAGCTGGGGCGATGGGTTCACTCTTACATGGACAAGTATGGCATTGAATTCAATTACATTGTATGTGGTGCTCTGATTAATATGTATTCGAGGTGTGGTGATATTGATGAGGCAGTAGAAGTGTTTGGTAAGATGCAAGAGAGAGATGTCAGTAGTTATAATTCCATGATTGAGGGGCTTGCTATGCATGGGAAGAGCAATGAGGCAGTTGAAATGTTCTGGACAATGACAAAACAAGGGCTTAGGCCAAATAGCATTACTTTTGTTATAGTATTAAATGCATGTAGCCATGGAGGCTTGTTGGAGTTGGGATTTGAGATATTTCATTCCATGACTACTCGTCATGGCATTCAACCACAGATAGAACACTACGGATGCATGGTTGATCTTCTAGGTCGCTCCGGTCAGCTTGAAGAGGCATATAGTTTCATTACAAAAATAAAAATGGCACCAGACCATATCATGTTGGGAGCTTTGCTAAGTGCTTGTAAAATCCATGGAAATCTCGAATTAGGAGAACGGGTAGCCGAAATCTTGGTAAATTGCGGCGATGCTGATTCGGGAACTTATGTTCTGCTATCAAATGTATACTCTTCATCGGGGAGGTGGAAAGAGGCTGCACAAGTGAGAGCAGAGATGAAGGAAAGTGGAACTCCAAAGGAGCCTGGTTGTAGTTTGATTGAAGTGAACAATGAGATCCATGAGTTCCTTTTGGGAGACCTCAGGCACCCGAAAAAAGAAGAAATCTACAAAAAGTTAAAAGAGCTAAACGATGAACTAAAATCTGAAGGGTACTTGCCTGCAACAGAGGTGGTTTTGCATGACATTGAGGACAGGCAAAAGGAATGGGCTCTGTCAATACATAGTGAGAGGCTTGCCATATGCTACGGGCTAATCTCTACAAAACCATGTACCACTTTGAGGATTGTGAAAAATTTAAGGGTTTGCAATGACTGCCACTCAATGATCAAGTTGATAGCTAAGATTACCAAGAGAAAGATTGTTGTAAGGGATCGCAATAGGTTCCACCATTTTGAGAATGGGACTTGTTCTTGTGCTGATTATTGGTGAAAGAAAAAGCTTAATACTAACAGCAATATCAAGTAGATATCTTGTTTCGTTACCCTGGAGTTACAAGTTTTCATTTATGTTTTTTTCTTTTTATGGATACTTGTTTTTGTACTTGGTTGATTGTGCAGAACATTTTAGGTTGGAACAACATTGGGCACCCCTGATAAACATGAATAACAAATTATTTGCAACAGCATCATAATTTTGTAGCTAAACTCCAACTTCATCAGTGATGTACATGCCAAGCTTGACTTTGCGAACAAAAATAAATGAATCAAGCTTGAACAGCTCGAGAAACGATTCAACATGCTTCAAAATAGTCTCATTGGACCATACATTTCACAACTTGAAACAGTGTTTGGACAGCTCGTTGCATCAAAAATGGAAAACATTTCACAAGTACAGAAGACCATACATATAACCTCAAAGATTGATAATTTATCAAAATCTACAAAAACATTATACAACACACAACTTTTGAAGTTCAAAAACCAAATTAGCAGTAGAAAAATGTTTTTGTCTCCTCCAATATCCTGGCAAGCAAAAATAGGTTTTGAGATAAACCTAATAAAAAGTTCCCAATAAGTTGAAATGAAAGATGAACCCAATAATTCATTAATTATTGGAGTTTCACAACTAGAAAATTTACTTTGCTTGCCCCCCTCCCTCTATCCTGGATGAACTATTTGGCTAGCATGCCTTTGGCTAGTTCAGAAATATAACATTTATACTAATGTAAATATAAAAAATCACCTGAAGTAACAAAATCAAGCAAGGACACGACAACAGTCTTCATGACTCTTCTCTTGTTTTGTGTTTCTTTGACTTCTTGATCGAATTGTCACTAATGGCAGAATATGCTTCGCTCCTACTAGGCTCTTGCATAGCAGATTCTCTGTGTTTCTTTGACTTTTTGATTGAATGGTCACTAATGGCAGAATATGCTTCGCTCCTGCTAGGCTTTTGCGTAGCATATTCTCTGTGTTTCTTTGACTTCTTGATATAATGGTCAACCATAGAATATGCTTCGGCACTGGTTCTACCAGGCTCTTGCATAACTGATTCTTCCTCGTTTCCTCTCCTCCTCTTATTACTCCTACAAATTCTTTTCACAGTTACAATGCAGAATCTTTTTTTAAAATCTTTTCAACATGAACAAAAAAATTTTAATGAAAACTCTTTCAAGTTATAAGGTCAGTGAAATACCCGTCCGTTAGTGAAACATTTTCCACATGTTTATCCAACCAGAGAATGCTCCCAGTGTGAGCTGGAAGCAAAGAACCAGAAATGCATAATGTTTCCTCATCCACACTGCAAAGATGAATCAATGTCATGAAAGTACATATACACACCAACAATCAAAAGAGGAAGTTCAGCCACATGTCATAAGTTGACAAAGGTTAGCACTAGACCTCAGAACTAGATAGAAAATCATACGACATCTAGACAAGTGAAGCTTTGGAGTATTTTAGGTAGTACGTCTTGTCCTTTATGTTCACTAATGCTAGATGGACCATATTTTCAGACCACATTATGAGGCAGGTGGGATCAACTTTGGTAGTTGATCCATCACCTGCCGTATAATGTTGTTTGCTCGTGTGATCTAAAAATGCAGTCGCTTTTAGCATTAGTGCCACCAAATATCAATTCTCTTATAAATAATAAGAAGGTAATAGTAATCCAAGGTCACCTTTTGACTAATAAGCGTATCATGGTTCCAGCTTTTATTACGTGTCGCTTGTGAGATCTGCTAACAAATAAGTCCTTGCCATGTTTCTATGAGAATATTGGCGCACCAAAAGTTAAAATGAATTAATACTGGCAATGTTAAGGATATGAACATTGAAATACAAAGATAAAAAACTCTTACAGTTTTATACTGAAATTCTTCGCGAATATCCTTGTCTGTTATAATAGCAGATGAAAAGCCAAGGATAATGACATGAATTGATTCTTGTCTGACTTTCACTACCTTTCCTTCTGAAGTGAGCACATTACGAAACAATCAGCAAAATCAACATTAATGAATACAAATGTGTGTGTATCACTCAATAACAAGATGCACTTTTGCTTAATCACATGATAAACCAATTTTGAACTTAATTGTACATAATATTATTCACAGAAGGAGTAAAAATTGTCCTTACGCTACTGCATCAGTTAATATAAAGGACAAGACATACTACCTAAAAGCATATCGGGCTGTGGAGAAAAAAGTAACAACTTTGCTTTTAGTCTGACATACAAATAAGGATGCATACTGGGAAGGATTTCTGGAACCTTATCTATGTTGAATTCATACGCCAATACGACACCCTGAAATTTTTCATTGAACCTGTATGGGAAACCAGAGAAAGAAAATCAAATACATTGCACTCTCAAAGGCTCTTAACTATGATTATCATAATACATAAAACATGTGAAACAGAATATTATTCCAACAAGGGCCACAAACGGGACAGAAATGGAACAGCCCACTGATGAATTTGGAGGATTACAATTCAAAAACAAATCTGAAAAATAGAAACTTCAATTCCTCAACTCTGAAAAATTAGCTCTCAAAATAACTTTTCTGTTGCAAGAAGGGGACCAAACAAACGCATAAACTGTGGGAACATTCAGAAAATTAAAATTACAACAAAATGGGCAAATATTTATGCTTCTCTTCGAAATTCCGAATAACTTATAGCTATTCTGCAAACATATTCTCCAAAAGCTCATGTTTTTTTTTCTTCAGGAAATTTGACTCAACTGACTCAGCCAGCACAAAAAGCAAGAACCTTTATAAGCATTCATCAAGTGGGCAACATCGAAACCAATCATATAAACAAGATCAAGCTTACCAAACCCTAGAAATACAAAACTAAATAAATAAATAAAGGGTTACCGAGAACGTACCTTAAAAGCAGAGAGCTAAGCTCGCGTAGGACTGCTTTGCGGACATTGTTACTCCTTGATGGATGTAGTTGGACTTGCAAGTTGACGTCTGAAACATTCAGCCCATCCATTACGCGCTCAAATCGAACCGGAGCTAGGGTTTTTCTTCTTCACTATGGCAGAGCTTAAAACCCTAGCAGACTCTCTGAAACATTCTCAGGTTCTCTGTCCGAGGAACCTTGATTGGTTATTCGCCATTCTTCAAAGTTTCAACCTTTATTTGGGTTGGGCCGTAAACGGGCCAAAACTTGCCTATCAGATACAAACTGGGCCATAACTCATAATTAGAATGTGGGTCCCACCCATATTAAATCAGAGCCGTAGACTTGTGTCTTATGACCCCGATAAGAAATTAATATCACAAAACGTCCCTAAAATTTACAAAACTATTAGATTGCTTTATTAATGTTTTTTTAAGTTATTCGTGGTCCTCTTAGTATGTGTGATCATAAATGGTCCTTATCGTTAGGTTTCGTTAAAAACTCCGTTAGTTTGCTGACATGGTATATATATATATCACAAAAAAAAATTACAAATTTATAAATAAACCCAATCCTAGACATGTATTTATAAAAAAACCCAAGCACTATTTAAACATAGAAACACACCCAAAATCAACCCAAAAGTCAACTTTTTGGGTGTGTTTATAAATGGGTTTCAAGTGTGTGTAATAATGGGTTTTGGGTATGTTTATATGTTTAAATAGTGTTTGGATTTTTTTATAATTTCAACTCCCATTTTGGGTGTTTTAGTGAAACTCCCAAAAAAATTTGAGGTTCCCACATTTATCACAAATGGTCCCTGCGAATTTTTTTAATTTTTAATTTAAAATTCATAAAATTTTGGTTTTCTTTTTAAAATTATTTAAAAATATATATTGTATTTTAAATACAAGTGGCACATATTATTGAAGATGTGGGCTCCACATACATGCCACATCAATAAACTAATGGAGTTTTTAAAAAATAATTTAAAATTCATAAAACTTAAAAATGAAAAAACCAAGGGTTTATGGTTCATAAATGGTCCTCAAGGTTAAAATATTCTATAAATGGTTTTTTCTTTTTTAAATGTTATGAATTTTAAATTATTTATAAAAAGAAATTCATTAGTTTCTTGTTGTAGCATATACGTGGAGCCAACTTCTTCAAAAATATAGTGTCACGTGTATTTAAAATAAAATATATATTTAAAAAAATAAAAGAAAACCAAAATTTTATGAATTTTAAATTAAAAAATTAAAAAATTTCGCAGAGACCATTTGTGATAGGTGCATGAACCTCAGGTATATTTTGTGATATATATATACCACGTCAGCAAACTAATAGAGTTTTTGACATAACTTAACAGCATGGACCATTTGTGATTACACATACTAACCTTAAGAACAATGAATGACAAAAATAAAATAAAAAAACATTAAGGATGCAATGATAGTTTCATAAACTTTAGGGACGTTTTGTGATATTAAGCCTTGTGATTATGCAAATTGCAATGCATCAAAATCACGTTTTTCAAAAGCAATTTCACATAACTAAAGAACACACAGACACTCATATGTATGAATTGCTGGGCGAATGCAAATAGATGTGAAATTTGGAATACATGCATGGAAATCGTTTCTTCTGAATATAGTAATTTGGGGTAGCAATTGATTTTTCCAATGGTAGTATCGTTGTCAAGAGTTACTTGGTATAAGTAGCAAAACCTTGAGTACGGAATGTGAAGTTTGCTTGCTGCTATGCTCTTTGAATATGGAACGTAGCAAATAGGCGTTTCATTGATGTTTCAACTTCTGAATTTTATGCAACATTATACATTTATGTTTATAGCACAGATTCTGAAATACGTGGGATGAGAGATATAAGAAAATTGGTGAGCTATATGCAAAGCTTCACTGTGAGAATCAGCATTATTTGGAAAAAAGAGAGAGTCTAAAAGTGCTTATGAGTTATAAAAATACTTGGAAGTGTTTTCTAAACTAAAATTGTAGTCATCCAAAGTGGAATTAAGCTTCACGCGCAGGCCCTGCTGTCGATTCACCATTGAAAATAACTTGGTCTGTTGTTCAGTTGATCCTATCATAATATCATTCAACGATCACTGTAATTGGTGCTACCTAGCGAAGCTACAAGTCAATCTTTGTCGCATGAAGCAAAGCGTCCTCCTGGCTTCTGTAAATTTAGATTTTTTTTTTGGTGTTCCACCAGTGCATTAAGGCCTAATCGTTTGCAATATTTTCACCCAGAAAAAGGGTATGTGTTCTTATTTCCGGTCATTTTACTTTTGTGAACAATTTTTTGGTATATTAGATGAAATCCAACTAATAACCTATTTTGAAATTCCTAACCATATTTCTCTAATGTTTTTGGTGAAATAGGCATATACAATGTTTCTATTACAACAAGAACAATGCCGATGTCATAGTAGGATGATGTTATTTTATTGATCTTTTGTCGTAAGATTACAAACGAAAATTAACATGATTAATAATTCAGATTTAAAATTTAACAATATCCGTAAACATTTAACTTACTCCACACTACTGATAAAACATTTCTCCGAGCTTATAATCCCATTATAGGCAAGAATTTTGTCAATCACGTAGTCATGACTATTTCTTTCTTGAACGTCTGCATCAACTTTATAGGTTAAGGACATTGATGGTTTGAAAAAGAGAAGAAAAAATTGAAACAAACCCCACCCTTTCTCCATGTCTTCCATCTCTCTCTCACCCACCCAAAATCTCCAAAAAACACTTTAAAAAACCAACCCGAAAGGTACAACACAAACATACAAAATAAAGGCAACAAAAGCAAAGCATCTTCCGTTGGGCCCTTCCCTCTTCTTTCCTTCTCTCTCCCAAGAACCAACATAAAACCCTGCAAGCAACAACGGAGCAACAAAATAAAAGGAAATTCATAAAACCAACAAGCAACATTACAATTTCAAAGCCATGGAAGAGTATAGCACACAATCTCTCTCTCTCTCTCTCTCTCTCTCTCATTTCATATTCAAGCTTTCATCTGCAAATTAACCTCTAAGCTGAAAAATTGATCATCTTTTGTTGTTTCTTCTCTTAATTTCCAGATCTGATGGCTACCCAAAAGAGTGTTACACCGAAGACGGCCGGAGAGTGATGTCATCTTCATCCACCACAAGCGTCCACGTCACGGCTCTGGACGGCCTGGTCAACGTCAACTCACTATTCACCATCGCAGTCTTCGTGGGTCTGTCTCTGACAACACCAGGACAGAGAAGCCTCGAGGGCAAGACAGCCTGCGACGCCAGAATCGACGTAGCCAAGAAGCTCCTGGTCTTCGAGGTTGTCTCCTTCAGCTTCTTCCTCTTCTCTTCTCTGGTGGCGCAGGGCCTCAAGCTGGCAATCAACTTGCTCAACAGCAAGGATGTCGACGAGGCCTTCCGGGCCCACATCAATCTCAAAGTCTTGAGATTTGGGATGATGGGTTCGGCTTTCGGGTCGGTGATGGGCTGTGTGTTTTTGGTGCTGTCAATGGTGGATGTGATTCAGATTAGGTTGGGGATGTTGTCTTGTGGAAGCAAATCTGCCGTGCATTCTGTTGCGGCTCTTGTCGTTTTGGTTTCCACGGCTCTTTTGGTCTATATTTCCACTGTTGTTTATGCTTTTCTTCATTAGCTGAAGCCCAATTTTATATACATGTTTCTTATTCAGTATCATATTTTGTATATTTGTCTCTCTGGGTTTTGTCAATTGGTCTTTGTTTTGTCTCTTTTTGTTTACAAGAGACAGTTTTGACTGGCATTTGTTTGAAACCTCTGTTTTGGTTGGAAGATAAATCTGCAAAAGATGGTAACTTTTAGGTGCTTCTTTTGAGTTCTCAGTTGATTAATGTTGGTTGGATATCTGGGTTATGGTCAGTTTCTAGAATTGCTTTGTTAATGTTGGCTGGCAGAAGCTGCAATTTCACTCAAATTAGCTGCTGATGCAATGTTTGTCAGACACCATCACATGATTTTCCTGCCCTTTTGTGGGTTTTGGTGTCTGTTTCTTTCTGTGTTCGTTTGTGCTTGGTTTTTCACTGTCTGTTCTGCCCTGCATTCTATCTTCAAGCCAGAAAAAGAAAAAGAAAAAGAAGACTTAATCTCGGGAGAGTGGCATTATTAAGTTGGATTTCTGTTGCAGAAAGGAGGTTTTTTTTGGTTTGCATATGATGATGGCTTTAGTTGCATTTGAGACCCTTATTTTTTGTTTCCTTAACGTTTCTACCAACACTGGACTCGAACCAGGGTCTCATGGCGTCCCCTGGTCAATAGTTTGCTTTGTCTCCGCATAACTCGTGCTAGACTTGAGACTTGATGAGCCTCATTAAAAAAAGAAGAGCATATTCTTATCTCATTTTCTATTTTCAAGTCCTTTCCCCGTCTCCCTTCTTTTGATCACATCAGTGATCAGAGCCAACTAGAGGGAAAAACACTTTCATTTACGGGAATAACATTGTTTTGCTATACCCATCCAATTACGTTCCGTAACGTGTAATAAGAATTACACATGGTAAAACATGATTGGATGAGAATAGCAAAACAGTATTGTTACTTCGGAACATGATTGAATGAGGATAGCAAAACAGTACTAACATCGTGACGTGCAAGTTTCCTCAGCTAGATGAGCTCATCCTCTTAGCTTTCTGGAATAGAAGTGTATTGAAAGCCACCAGGGCCCCCACCAAATGGTGATTGATAATAGCCATGAAAATACACTTTGGCATGCACCAGCTGGTTTATTGAGACAGAAAAGAAAAACATGAGTAAGTATAAATTCATCTCTCTGAAATTTTCCAACTTGGGCTTGTGTGGCTTTTGGATGGAAACTCAGTTATGGAGAGCTTACAAATGATACTGTTCCTCCGTTCCCGCCGTGTGTTTTCTGGGACCAAAGCATTTGACTTGGAGAAAATTGGAAGAAGTCATTACGCTTAGAGGCACAAAACCTATAAGCAAAGAAACAAGTTGTTTACACGTAAATCCAAGAAGTACTAAACAAGGATTAGCAAAATGGGATTTGCAAGCTCAGATATTGCAACTTGATGGGTCCAGGCTGGCCAGTCCCTACATATCCGACACACAAATTCCCCAGAATTATGAACAATACTTGATACAATCAAATGTTGTTCATAATTTTGGGGTCATATTAGAAATTAACACCTCCCTTCTGGTAGCGCATAATGATGGCATGGTGAAAACGAGTGAAAGTAACACGTTATACCAAATGAAACTGAAGAAAAACAAGAGGGATACACTAGTTTACAGAGAACATCTTGCTAATTATAGGTATGCTATTTTTACAACTACAGGCTAATTCATAAAAGAAAGAAAAGAAGAAACTACAGGGTTATTCAGTCTATGCTCAACCTAAAACTGAGATTTACAGTCCTGAATACAAGCAACAGCACATGAAAGGAATTGTACAAAAATGGTCAGCTGAACAAATAGAACAGCCTTTAACTGTTTGAGGGTGCCACCCTCTTCGATTCAATTTCTTTCACACTTTGGACTATACCGTCAATGTTTCTTGAGAGGTGATTTGAATGTTCTTCCATCTCTCTCAAAACCATATCAAGTTGTTCTTGATAGGCTGCAGATCTCTTCCGCTCACGTTGTAACTCAGCCATCAACTCCCGAATTTTCACATCTTTTTCGTCCTGGAACATACCCACAAGAAGAAAAAATAAGAAAATAAACAGACAATGCATGGTAAACATTGATTGTCAGTGAAAATATTATGGTAATAGAATGCAAAGAACTCTTTCTATGCCGTCATAAACATACATCAAGTATCTGCTAGATGGCTTTACCAAGCAGTGATCAACTATATAAAGTGCTTGCTTTAACCATTACAAACTAGAGCACAATACCAAAAGATACAATTATAAACTTGAACTGACCGCACACACCTACTATAATAGATCACAGAAACGGATTAGAGAAGCAAATATGGCACATGAAGGGACCTGCAAAAATTCTAATAAAGGTTACTACTAGAGTTGAGTGGGGAGATATTTCTTTATATATTTGTTTATAATTACTTGAGTAAATTTAAGTTTTAGATTGAATATCAAAATTGATTTTAGCAATTTGGAGGTGAAGAAGCATGAATTGTCTAGTATCTGAACAATAAACTTAGAACAATGAAACAATAGAAACTACAACATAGAGTAACCTTTTTAAGCAAGAGGCATCTGCTAATTTCATCCAATTAACCAGAATTACTAATATCATGTAAGACACATAACAAAAGTAACTTTCCAAGTTGTAAAAACTCCAAACCAATTCCAGGCAACAGACTGCAGCAAATCTCAGGTTCTTAGATACTAGAACATCTGATGCACTTCCAAATCTATAGGGTAACATCACAGATACTAGATAATCCACTAACTTAAGCCACACAAATCACAATGCATCTCAAATGTCACCAAATAAACCTGTAAACTACAGTTCAGCAACTCACAAATGCAGATTATATAAAATAAGGCGACATAGACAAATAGAATTTGAACGAGAGAAATCTTATCGAGTACTCACTGGTGTTTGAGATAGAAGCACAGTGCGACGACCATTTGCAGGTGTAACCACCAGTGGATGGTTATGCTCCTTTACAAATCTTGTTACTATCCATTTTCCCGATTTTTCTTTCTTTACCACTATCATTGCTTTACACCCTTCTCTGGTGATTGCTCGAGGCTTCCTATTCTCACTTCTTTTGGGTCTTGTCTTACGAAATCCCTCTTTATTACACACAAGCCTACGCCAAACTACCTTACCATCACGCATGGATCTTCGGAAGGCATCAACACGCATGATGAACCCCAAGTGTGTTGCATATGCGTCATAGAACACTTTAGCAGCCTCTTCGGATTCGAACTCCATACCCACATATGGTTCCATATCCGAATTGCCCTCAGATGTGACTGCATCTTTTCCATTGGAACTCTGTATCACATCCTCATCCTTGCTCATAGAAGATTGTTCATCCACTGCCAAATAGACATCGTTCTAAGAGTCAATCTAAGGTTCAATTTTCGGGAACTCAAGCAAGACAGAGACTTTGAGGGTGAAAATGAACTCTAATACCAAAGCTAGTTCAATGCATAATTAATCGTGTAAAGTCTCACACTACAATGTTACAGAAACGAGTAAACTAGTTTCTGAATTTTCCGGCTCATTTTACGAATGTAACGAGTCAAATGACATCTGTTGAATACCACAATTATATCTAATCCAACCACTTGAAACAGCAAACAAATTATTCCAAAGCAAGCTCGTTTATAAAGAATTCGACTCTATACACAAATAAGCTCAAAATCAATTGTCAAAGAAATTGAACTGAACAAGTTTTGAATGATGGGTGCATAGTTTGGTTGTGTTTGGCTGCTCAGAAAACACAAGAGAATAGTCATATCAGAGTGGAAATGTGACAAGCAGCTAAAATTGGGGTTGCTGAATTTTAAGTTGCCCAACTTGTAACTCATCGTTTTAAATCATTTCTCAGCAGCCAAAGAGAGAGGAAATTCCAAAATGGAAAACAAAATAATCTAAGCTTTAAACCAAGTGCAGATTAATGAATGTTTAGACAAATTAAGAGTGAAGAAAAGGACTAACTCACTTGTTTTAAGAGAGAGATCCTGACCCAGTAGTTTGCTTAGCTTCTACAATAGAGAGAGAGAGAGAAAGAAAAAAAAAGGTCGTTCCTTTTTCCCCTGTTCTTTCTTAGGAGGTGGCGGTTGAAACGTTTCAGAGAGGTCTCGGAGCTCAAAGTCCAGAGGGGGTGTGGCAGGCGGATAGAGAATAATGATCCTCTACGGCGAAGAACAGCGTCCCTCTGTACGGATTATTGTTTTTCTTTTCTTAATTTTTTTTTAATTCTTTCTAATAATCTATAAATAGCCTTTCTCTTTGACAAAAATAGAAACCCCTCTTTTATCAATTACCATCTAATTAAATAGTAAGCGTGAGTTAGGCTAGTTGATCAAGATCGGATATTTGTCGTGTTATCGAGTTTGTTTATATGGCTGAATATTTTCTTTTAATTTATTTAATAAAAATAAGAAAAGAGATTCAAATTTGAGTGTACAGAAAACTACGAACTCACTGTTCCGACTACCTAACCTAATTCACTTTTGCTTCGCCTAACACTAAAAATAATTTAGAATATTGTTTTCTTCAAAAAATAATTAAATTAAAAAAAATACTGTGAGCCCAGCCCATTTTAGAACCTCCTAAAACAGTATAGCCCAGCCCTGACCACTTCAAAAAAGCTACAGGAGGTCTAGCATGGTGAAAAGGGTTTAATTTACACGACATTATAGTTGCGTGTGAGAAATTTTGAGGCCAAAACAAAAAATAAATAAATAAATAAAAAAAGAAGAAGAAAAAAATAAATCGATTTCACTACTCACTTACATTTGAGCAGTGTCTATCTCCGTCTTGATCAGTCCATGAAAGCCAGAAGAAGATCTTCAGCTTCCGATATCAGTCCGAAGCACTTCGACTATTTTTTAATTAAAGTAAGTTCCTTTCTTCTTTTCTCTCTCTCCCGCTCTACCAGCCTTTCAATTCCAATTTCTCCTTCAATTTTTTTTAATGATTATAACCAATCTATATATTCTTACCTCTTGTTCCCTCCAAATGCTTCTAACTACTCGAAAATACTTGCAAAGTTGTTTAATTTTTCTGAGAAATATAGGTCATGCAATCCATTCCTTGACGAGAAAGTGTGGGAAAGTGGAAAAAACTTTGTTTTTAGATTCTCAGATCTCTGGTTATTTCATAGATAACATTCAACTGAGCATTCCAGAACTATTTGTGGAAATTGCAGCTTGTTGCTCAAATTTGTGTTTTGGAATTTGTTTCTTTGTATTGTTTTGAGCTATTGGTCCAAGAATTTTTCTTGTGGATATTAAACATTGGGTTATTGGTCCAATTTCATGAAGGCTTTACCTTTTGAGTTAAACTAGTACTTCTCCTTTTAGTATGACGAAAATTCCCCATGAGAAAATGACCCAAGTATTAGAAAGTAATTTCATGATATTGTTTGAAAGTAATGTGGTGTGTAGATTTCTTTAGTTCAGTTGAGCTCTTTATGGAGTATTAAGTGTGCTAGATTCGTCTTAATAACAAATTACGTATATAATACACCCGTAAAGATGTTTATGGATTCTATTACATGATTTATGACAGTGGATTTGGAAAGGGAAGCTGGGGCAGTAGATGAGTCTGTTGAAATAACCATAGTTGCTTCAGAAGGTCCAATTCCGGAACCTTATGTGGGTATGGAATTCGATTCTGAAGATGCCGCCAGGAAATACTATACTGATTATGCCAGACAGGTCGGATTTGTTGTTCGTGTTATGCAGCGTCGTCGATCAGGCATTGATGGGAGAACTCTTGCCCGTCGGCTTGGGTGTAACAAACAAGGGTTTTCTCCTAACCAGAAGGGGAAATTTGGACCTGAGAAAAAGCCTAGACCTAGTGCGCGAGAGGGTTGCAATGCAACAATCTTGGTGAAGATGGAAAAATCTGGAAAATGGGTTGTTACAAGATTTGTAAAGGATCATAATCATCCTCTGGTTGTTACTGCCAGTGGTTTTAGCACAGCGGTGAGCTTATTTAAAATATTTAACTGCTTCAACAATCTTCGCCTTTATTCATCATATCTTATTGAATTTTCAAGATAATTGTTTTTTGCTTTTGATTTTTGCCCCTTCTTTGCCACATCAAAGCCTGGTTCCCTCATATTAAGGTGTATCATAAGTTGTTGAATGAACTATTGATTGAACAAGTTTCAAGCAGAAAAAGGAGAGTGAGTTTGGAAGATTTCTAGTGATGTTCACGAATGACGTTCACGAATAAACCTTAGAATTATGTGAAAGTGGCCTCATGACCAAGCAAGTATAGTTTAGGAAGCCGTTTACCAACTAAAGCCTTGAATTTAATTGTTGAAACCTAAAAGTGAGATGTCAAAACTTTGCGATTTTTTGTTTGGTTTCGCATATGATTATTAATTTTTAATAGGTGTGATATACTTTGAATTAGTTCAGTTTCCGCAGATGAGTTATTTGCTTATTGATAATTGCAGGGTGATAAGGATAGGAAAATTGAGGAACTTATGATGGAGTTGGAGCGTCAAGATCAACTATGTGCAGGTTATAGAGAAAAACTTCTCAGTTTTATGAATAATGTTGAAGCAGAAACGGAAGAACTGTCGGAAAAGATACAAGTTATAGTTGACAATGTGAGAAAAGTTGAATCTGAAGTGCAAAAACATTCTCGTCGTAGATAGCCTTGCAAGTTAACACTTAGGATTTATTTGCCACCTATTCGCATTCAGCTCCATCCAAGAATGTACAGTTTTTATTAGAATCAGTTTCTTTTATGACAGATAGGAAAGTCCTTTTTTCACAAATAGAAAATTCCCTTTTTTCTTCGTTTGACCTCAAACTTTAATCGTTTCATTAGATTAAACGAAAGGTTCATGACTCTTTTATCATAATTGCAGCTTCAGTATCATACTCTCAGTATCTGCAGTATTCAAAAATTCCTTTTCACCACATGATTGTTAATATTGCAGTGATGTTGAATTTGAAGTACGATTAATTTCTGTTCAATACTAATAGGCTTAAGGGTGTAAGTTCAGGGTGCTAAATTAAAATTAACACTAGAAAATATATCTTTTCGAATGGACATCGATTTCTGGATTGAAAAGAAAAGAAACAATTAGTAAATTAAAATAAGTGTAGGAACAAGGCCAAAAGGGCCACCCTGGCCAGTGGGAGGACAAAGCAATTGTTTGCCTTGTGGGTATTCCATGGGTATTCCATTCACTAAATTATTCATGTTCAATTCAAGACATTTTCTGAGATTGCTTGTGGTATAAATGGGCCAAGCTCACTCATCTATACAGTATGTTAATCTGTCAAAATACTCTCAAAAGGAGAAACATTAGTTGAATCCATCCTCATACCACTAATATGCACAGAGCCATACTTCTTTCTTCAATTGTCGTCCAGTTCATTTTGTGGAAGTCTTTCAACTTCAGTCTCAAATTCTCTCACATCGTTAACGATTCCGCTAACTTTCATGGATATCAGTTCTGTTTGCTCCTCAATATTATCCAGCAATGTAAGTAGTAGCCCATGATATAGTTCACATAACTGATCTTCACGCTCCAGCTCCATAGTGAGTTGCTCAATCTTCATATCCCTTTCATCCTAAGAATGTATATTTGAAAACAAAACAGATTCAGAGGTTAAAGGCAAATGCAGTTTCACAATCATGTACCTATGTGCACTTTTAGATCCTTTGTCAAACTCTATTTCCTAATAGCGGAAATAAAACTAAAAGTCAAGAGACTCATCATCTTAGAAGTAAAACAGAAAGAAAAATACTCCTATTATGATCAATTATGATCCAATTCCCAGGACCGTCGAAAACTAGGTCTGTGAAACTCCATTGCATGGAAAAGTTTGCCTGTAAAATTTGCTTCTCCTTGAAAACCTAAGGGGCCTTGTTTCTAGAGCAGCTAGTGAATTACATTGACAGCAACCATGATACTTATAGCAGGGATGAGGAATCTAAAGCACCTAGCCTGATTAAAAAGTACATAAACCATGATTTTGATATTTTGAAATTTTCGTTTCAGCACCACAGTAAATAAGCAAAGTTCAATCTTTAGAAGTTCCATGAGAGTATGAGCGTAGAGTAACGAGAACTAACTCAACACTTCACATAAAAGTTTACAGTAATGGTTACTTTTTCTTGAAAATAGATTAGATAAACTTACCATAGAAATCCCAGAAGAAACTATAAGCTGATGAGTATGGTCCTTAACAACTCTTGTAACAACCCATTTTCCAGATTTATTAACTTTGACCAGCATCATTGCTTTACACCCTTCTCTTGTGCTAGGTCGTGGTCTCCGAACTGGCCGGACTTGATCTCTAGGTTTTACATAACGCCCTTGCTTATTGCAGGAGAGCCTACGAGAAAGAATTCTCTTGTCAACATCAGATCGCCGACACTGATCTATACGCATGATGAACCCTACATGCCTTGCATATTCACTATAAAAATCCTTGGCAGCATCTTCAGAGTCAAATTCCATACCAACATATGGTTCTGCAACTGCATTCAAGTCCCTTTCGGCAGAAGTTTCGGGTGCTCCAGCTGCCACATTCAAATTCAGTATCACACATCACCACACTCTATTATATTCGACAAACATAATCTCTCTCTCTCTCTAGAAAATTGCCTCTATTGATTTTCCTCCTACAGTGAAGACTTATATGCTTTTTTTTTAATACCAAAATTCATTCTTCCTCATGAACCACACTGATGAAAACTAAATACTTGAAGTAGAAAAAAGTTTTTGAGAGGTCTGAAAGAATTTGTTTCATTGTTGTATTTGAAGTTCATATACATCAGGTGAGGTTGGAATCACTACTAAGGTTCCTAAACGTTGTAATCACAGAAATTGAAGCCAAGCTCATGGCTAACATATTACAGACAATCGTTCCAGCACAATGTTTCTGATCTCTTTCTCTCTCTGAGCTTCAGGTCACTTAAAAAATGAGTCACACAAAGTCTCCTCTACACCCAATCAAATCATACACAGCAAAAAAAAAGGCTTTTTTTTGTTTGTTTTTTTTTTTACCATAATCGAGTTAAAAAGTTCACATCTTTCGATTTTAAAGAGCTTTTGGTTTACTTTTGTTTGGGGGTTTCAGAAGTTTCTGACTCCAAGACCAAAAAAGGTAAAACCCAGAATAGATTTCTATATAACAAGATTGAAATTACTTTCAGAATTCTCTGCAACCAAACACAAACAAGGCAACATGAATTTTGGCCACTGGATGGAAGAAAAAACCAATACTAATTTACTTGACGGAAGAAAGCTAGCAGTGTACTTACTGGGTTTCGGGTCGGTACTTAGCAAATCAAGCCAAGGTCTTGGTCTTCCGTTCTCCATTTCACGTTTCACAAATGGGTTCAGCAAAGCTCACAGCTTCCACCTTCACTGCGCATCACCCACATCCAACAATATCAAAGAATTACTCAAAAGCCAACGTCGTATGGCATCCAACGACATCATTGTACTAGTCGTTTTGTAACCGTGGCGCTGTATTGGACTAACTTGTTCAGTCCAAGCCCCACTCATAAGTCGACACTACAATTCACGCTGAAGGGTCTTAATTTCCGTTTGTTTCCACTTTCCATAGAAAATGAATGAGAAGTGGTAAAGATTGAATTTTGGTGCTTCTCACCAGCCAGTTTGTTGAGAATCTTATGTCAGGTATGGATTTCTCTTGCAGATTACATTTTTCATGCATTCTTGGTCTCCAAATTGAGATCAGATTGGGGTGGCAATTTTAAAAAAAGTTCCAATTTTTCCGAATGATTTTATCTGGGTTTTCATTTTTCTGATATGTACTTCGTGGGTGTATTTGTTTTCGTAATATAAGACTAGATTGGGTAGTTTTCTTAAAAAGAAACTACAAAATGGAGTAATTTTGGTGGCCTTGCTGCTTGCAGAGTTGTTGTGATGAATGTAGAGGTTGTGTGAATTATTCCGTTGTACAAGGAGCAATGGAAAGCAAGGCTAACAATATATCATTCAATTCGGATGAGAGCGAAAGGTGTTTGGAATTTGAAAGCTGTGATGAGCATTTATTGATTGATGATGATGAGCTTCCAAAGGACACCGATTTATGCTCATTTGAAGTTGATAAGATCATACAACAGCCTAATGCAAGCTTGCCTTTGATGGGCAATGCTGTAGAGCCATACATTGGAATGGGGTTCAAGTCTAGAGACGATGCTCGAGACTTTTATATTGCTTATGGCAGGCATTCTGGGTTTACAGTAAGAATTCATCACAACCGGCGTTCGAGGATGAATAACATGGTTATTGGCCAAGATTTTGTTTGTTCTAGAGAGGGTTTTCGGGATAAGAAATATGTTTGCAGGGAAGATAGAGTTCTTCCTCCACCACCTGTCACCAGAGAAGGCTGTGCTGCAATGCTGAGGGTAGCTTTAAGAGATGGGGAGAAGTGGGTTGTTACCAAGTTTGTAAAAGAACATAATCACACATTAATGGCTCCAAGTAAAGTTCCATGGCGAGGATTTGGGAAAAACTTAATTAGTGAGGTATGTTTCTAATCGTCTATGATGAGATAGAAGGTTTTGTGGCATTTATGAAGTTAAGTTGAATGGTGACAGATTCTGCAATATTTTCCTTTCTGACTAATGACCTAAATCTAAGGCAGTGCCTTCAATAACATAGCTGCTGCTTGGAGAACAAAATAAAAGCCCAGAGTAACAATATGTTGTGTACAATATTTCAAAAGTAAGCAATTTTCTGTCATATCCAATTTCATAAAATAGTCAAAGTATAGAAGGAAATTTTTGAAATGCCATTTTACCTGGCTTTTATTAACTAGCTGCTGTGGATGGACCCGTATTTGTTTCATAGAAGTTGATGAGACAATGCTTCCCAGCCTAATGCATTGTGTTCCTTTTAATTTGATTTTGATCATGTATGTTTGCCCTTATTACTTGCAGGATGAGAAGGATCAGAAAATTAGGGATCTTACAATTGAACTTAGCAATGAGAGACAGCGCTGTAAACGCCGATGTGCAGCTTATCAGGAACAAATAAGTATGCTTTTGAAAGATATCCAAGAGCATAGTGATCACTTGTCAACAAGAGTTCAAGATATAGTAAGGAACATAAGAGAACTTGAGAATGAGCAATGTGTAGATTCATAACAATAACCATTTGTACATTTTTCCCTTTTGAGGCTTAATACAGATGCCACTAATTTTAACATTAATTTGTCTCAGCCAATTGGATATCGAGTTAAATAAACACCAGATGATATTGATGTCCATTTTGCTAAGTATTTATGCTTCAGTGTATCTGAATTGTTTAGCATTTATGAGAGGTTTGCATTGCTCAGTTTTTTTTTTTTTTTTTTTTTTTTTCGGTTTCCTTAAGATGCACCATTTTAGAAGCAAAAGGCCCTTCTTAAGGCTCCATTTTAGCACAAAAGAAATTCACCACAGCAACCAAATATTACATTTAACTAGAAACTAACAAGTATCTGACAATCGAATGGTGATCATAAACAATTTACATGTGTGTCTCATCTTCTTTTTTTCTTTAAAAGTGAAGCAGCGCGCAGAAATATCCTATCAACCTCATCAAAATTTGGCAAGTCAGCATCTTCGTTCGCTGATTTAGCCTTCTTTGAGTCCATGGATATTTGACGCAGGTGATCCTCAAAATCTTCAGGTTCTCCGTCACCTTCAACTGGAAACTTTTCAAACTCTTCCAAATACAACGGTCGCTCTGCCTTCTCCTCAGTCTCCTTGTCAGAGTCAGTCTCAAAAATATCTGATAAATCTTCGGAGTCCGAAGGCATTTCTGAATCCGTTACAAGTTCATCTTCAGTACATCCCTTGCTTCGACCGATTATTTCTTTCAGCTTATCTGAAGGCTCCAGCTTCAAATTTGAGGAGCTCCTGGAGTCTACACTATCAATGTCAGTTTCTTGGGTTTCTTCAATGGCATCTGTTTCAATTTCAGGTTTCCTTTTAGCCTGTGCTCGAAGCAAATCAAGATCCTGTTCAAGTTTTGGAATATATTTCCTTACAGCCCGAAGGCCATCCTTATACTTCGATTTATCCAAAGCCTGTGTGGGGGAGCAAGAAGGGAAAAAATGAGAACAAATAACATCTGTCAAAAGCCTAACCATATGGCATTCATGCACATCTCTGTATACTTTTTATGCCCTTTCTTTACTGATGAGGTCCTTTAAGCACCAAAAAATGGAGGCATAATGCAACTGATCAACCATAGTTCACAAGGAAAAATTGTTTCCAGGGCATGAGGAAGCATTGTCGTACTTATCATGCATTGATTCAAAATGTTTTACAAAAGGAGCAAGTGTGGTAGTTACTGTATGGAAAATTGATTTCAAATATGCAGTTAAAAAGCATAACCCATTAACAGGCAGTGTCAGAAATTCAGACGGTTAATTCTAAATTTCCATGCATAAAAGAAATAAATTTAAGAAACATAAGAGCAGAGAAGAACCTTCTTCCTAGAGAGAGTGACCCTAGGTGACATAATCTCTGTCGGTGGCTGAGAATAGTTCTTCCCTCTGTACATAATTATTGTGTATTCTTCATGAATGCGGAGCACAATCCCTCCAGTTAATCTTGCCAGCTCAGAAGCAATCTCCTTAACCTCCTCAGGTGAGAATGTCTTGACCACCACTTGCAGAGTTTGATGTTTCTTCCAATGCAAGTGCATGTTCAGAATCACACCCTGGTATATTCCCCGTCTTCCAACGGGCACATAATTCTTGCACTTGAGACCCATCTTCAAAAAGAAGAAGTGTTCCTCTGGTGTCAATATTTCTGGATCATGGTTTGTCTCTGATGTCTCCGAGGGCTCAATCTTCTTAAGAGCTTCAACAAGCCTTTCCTCTTTCCTTTGAGCCTGCAAAACAGCAACCACATACTATCATAACTCTCTAACGTAAGACTGCATTCTCTAACACTTGGTGTCCAATTGGGTTACTTATGCCATGCCATGGAAAATGGGTTGAAAGATATGCCAAAAACTACAAAAACTGTATTAAAAAGTGGCATTTACATCAAAACCAAATACAATTCTTAGCGTATAGAATTTTACCTTTCTCAACTTGTGGAGAATTTTTTCCTCCGCAGTCATTCTCTTATAATCCTTCTTCTTCTTCCACCTGAAGAACTTGAGCCACCTAACGACTGCTCTTTTCCCCTTGAGCTTTTTCCTCTTCACTGTAGCACTACCAGTGTCCTTAGCAAATGTGCCTTCTTTCGAATTTCCCAATGGCTCCGCAGCTTTGTGCTCAGCGTTAACACAAGGAGCTGAATGAACCCATCGATGGCCCTCCAATGGAAACCTTGTAATACCAACCAAGTCCCCAACAGCAGGCTTTTGAACAAACACCTTGCATACAACATCACCCAAGCTACTCCACTGTGAGGTCGTGATATGAAATGCTATTTATCTCAATGTATATTTCACAAAAAGCTCCATACTTTATGAGATTTGAGAAAGACGGGTACCTGGGTTTCTCAATATTGAGCCGATTATGAGATTTGAGAAGACGCAGTGAACGGAAGACGCTCGTCCGCCCCAGTTTCTGCATTGGGCCTGAGCTGCACGCACTTCCCTGTTTTGGAGAATCCAAAAGAACACGACTTTAGGTCATTTCGAATTTGCCCCTTTGAAAAATCAGAGGGTTTGGAAGCTTTTTAGTAGTGATAAAATTCAATTGAATTGAATTGCTTCAAGTGCGTCTTCTTCAGGCTAATTTCTATTGAACCCCAGTGTGGGACGATGAAGAGGCAGCAGCGTAAGCGGGAAACGGTGACGTTTCGAAGTTGGCCTGGCTGTCCTGTTGTGATTACCAACCGTAACAGGGTTAATATTGTCAAAACAGGAAAAACTGTAATGCTAATGTTCCCCTCATTCATCTGGTTTCTTGGAAGAAAGGGAAAACGTCAACCTTTTTTTTTTTCTTTCCTCTTTCCTGAGTTTGGTTATGTACATAGACGTCTGATTTATAAAGATTAAAATGTTGATTTGCAATCCATTTGTCAATATCATTGTTGTCAACACTGATAAAATATCGATTGCACGTTAACAATTCGATCTTTAATAAAAAACCATACATGCATCATTCGATCACTATAACGACTATAGTGAGCATCATGAGATGAAGGATGAGGCATGAGATGGTCACCATTAACCCCACAATATTTCACCAGAATTGTATTTGACTTCATTTTGATTTTTCGGTTGGCTAAAGATGAGCTAACGCCCCAAAAGACCAACATCACCTTTTAAAGATGAAAATTGATGAAAGAGTCACATTGGGGAAATTGTAAGCCAAAATCTAGGAGAAGAGAGATGATGTGCTTCCCAAAACACATGTTGTTTTTGTCAAGCTAGAGTGTCAACTTCTCCATAACAACAAATAAGAACTTGAATGTATGTCTCAAAATGAGGGGGAGTGGAGAAGATCCCAAAAGCAGGGACTTCAAGTTCTTAAAACCACTCAATATTTGATTTGTGGCATGATTTTGTTGTTGCAAATGCAATAACTCTAAAGAGATTTCTTATCTGAATGCATAACTGTGATTGTTTAATGCAAACACATGTTCTAAGCTTGATGCAACTTCAGTTTGTAAAATAAGATATTATCTCTGAAATAAAAAAAAAAAAAACTAAAGACTTTCACAACGATAAATGAAAAATAGGGAGTTTCACTAAAACACCCAAAATGGAGGTTGAAATTATAAAAAAACCCAAGCACTATTTAAACATATAAACACACCCAAAACCCATCATTACACACACTCAAAACTCATTTATAAACACACCCAAAAAGTTGACTTTGGGGTTGATTTTGGGTGTGTTTCTATGTTTAAATAGTGCTTGAGTTTTTTTATAAATACATGTCTAGGATTGGGTTTATTTATAAATTTGTATAATATATATATATATATATATACAATGATATTACTTGTTCCCCCTTGAAGGCGTCCTACTATATATATTCTGAACATATCAAAGACATTACAAAGAAACTAACTAAAAATATGAAAATCACCAGAAGGAGAAAGAAAAAAAACTAGAAATGATGATAAAAACCCACAAAGAAACGAAGGATTTTGGATTCTTTTAACATGAGATTTCACAAGAGTACACAAACAAATAGGCTGCTCTTATGAAATCAAGTTGAACCTAAAGCAGCAAATCCACCACGTTTCATCATCTGCTTAAACTCCTTGTAATTAACCCTCCCATCTCCATCAACATCCACCTTCTTTATCATTATCTTGCAATCCTCCAATGTCCTCCCCTGCTTCAGCCCCAAAGATGACAAAACTGACCTCAACTCATCCACTGTAATGAACCCATCTCCATTTTGATCAAACACGTTGAATGCTTCCCTCATGTCCTCCTCTTCATCCCTCTCGTCCATGATCGTCTGGTACAACGCCCCGAACTCGTCGATATCCACGAACCCATCCCCGTTCACGTCGATTTTTTCGATAATCTGGATCAAGTCCTTGTCAGGAATGTAGATCCCCAGGTTCTCTAAAGAGTCCCTGAGCTCCTTCTTGGTGATCTTCCCGTCTCCGTTTCGATCAAACATCTGAAAAACTCGTTTTACCTCTGCCCTGTTGTCCATCAAACACTCTCAGAAATTGAGAAACTAATTGCCAAAATGTAAAATCTGATCAGAGGTTGAGAAATTGAGCAACAGCAACAAAACCCAGATGACCAAATGTGACGCTCTCAAGGAAAAGTTGAGGCTTTGATGAAGATTGTGGAGATTTGAAAGAAGGGTTGCAACGAGATACGGAAAACCCTGAAAGCGATATGGTTGAGAAAGTCGGCTATTACTAAACTGACAACGGGTGGTGGAAGTTGTTTGGAGTTGTTGAGGAAAATGGAGGTGAAAAAACGATAGGGGCCAAAAAGTTTATCTCAGGGAGAACCAGAAACCATCCAACACGTTTGAGCGTTGGTTTTGTGGATTTTTTCCGTTGTTTGGTTGAAAAACGCGGGTTTGTACCCAAAAACATAACCGCTTCAAAGTAAACCCGTGTTTTTGCGGCATTGCGTGTATTGGATTGGTCACGCACTCTGATCTGACCGTTAAAAGTGGCGCCATATTTTCTCAAATTAGGAGTTGGCTTTTGGTCTTGAAGACCCAAGTTTGGGCAGTCCAAGTTTGGGTGGGCCCAAAATATTAGATCCGAGTGTTGGATAATTTTCTAGAACTTTGCTTATTCTTTTCGTTTCTGTTGCTTGATGTCTAAGACTCATGACTCAAAATAATTGTAAGAATTTAGACTCAATTTATGAGTGAGTAGTAACGTAGTGATTGGAGGATGTTCTTGTCACATTTTACTGATCACATTTCTAACCACTTCTCGTCATTCATGATTTAAACCGCGTTTTGTAGACAAGATAATCTCACTAAGTACATCATTTTGAACTTTCTGTCTACATTTATAACCACCATGTTTATAAATAAATTAACACCAGATTATACACTACATATTTTATATAATTCCAATAAGAAAAAACACATAATATAAGATTTGCCCTTATTATTTTTGGACCATATAGTTTGTCGGTTTTAACACTTGATCCTTATAGTTTTAATTTTGTCAATTTTATACTCAGTAGTTTCACTTTGGAGCAATTCAACAACACGTTTCAATTTTTGTCAAATTCCTCCGAATTTCGTATAATAAAACACAATTTGAAGCTCTTCCCCTTCGCTTTAGGCCCAATTTTGGGGCTTAGGGTTTCAACCTACATGGACTCCAATGGTAAGACCAGCAAATTACAAGGACTAAAGTAATCTGGAGCTCTTCCCATTCACTCTGATTGTGTAATCTATTTCAAGATTAAGATGTCTCTTGGTAATTTGCTTTGCTGTTTTATTGTGCTTGTTTTATGTTTTCACAACTTCAATTCAAAGACTGTCAAATGCTTCATCCCAAAATAGTTGCAATTCAGTCCCTTCATTTGGGTATGAAAAGCTTCATATTCAACATTGGGTTCGCTATCTCTAAACAAGAACAATTTAGAAAAGCAACCAGTATTTGCACCATTGGATCTGAAAACTTGAAAAAAGAAAGACCCAAAAGCTGGACATAGGTTGCAATGGCATGGAAAAATTCAGAATGTAATCCAACCATGTGCCCATAAGACCAATCAAAATGAAAAGATCAGATGGGCGAGTAGCTGGATATTCTAGTAAACTAGAATTCCATCAATATTGCAAACGAAGAAATTGCCTCAAAACATCGAAAGATTTGGGACAGAGTGCGTTTGCTTAACCCTAGCTAAATAATATTCTATTTTGCAAAACCTATCATAAACAAAAACCAAAAGGGGGCAAGAAATTAGAGGAAAAGGATGTGCCGGTAGTAAAAGGGCCTGAAGGATCAGGAGGAGGTCAAATTCAGGCGAGTGCTACCGACGAATTGAATTTTGCAAGATTTGTAATTCATTTGGCTGGGTCGTTTGAATCAACACCCAGTCAAGAAGCTGAACTTGCTTAGAAAAAAGATAAAATTCAAAAACAAAAACAGAAGATTTAGAGTCCGGATGGGAAGCGCCAAGAAGAAGAAGAAGCCGCACAGCCTGCGGTACCCTCAGATGATTGAGATGCCATTCATTCTCGTATTTATATAGAAAATTAGCAAACTAGGGTTTTGTGTGGTGCCCGGTAACTTTTTTATTTTTATTTTATATAAATCGTATAGCCAATCGGCTATACTATTTAAAATGCTTAAACGGTGTAGCCGATCGGCTATACTATTTTGTTTTTAAAAAAAAAACCACAGTATAGACGAGCGACAATACTATTTTTATTAATAAATAAATAAGTCATCCGTATAGCCGCGCGGCTATACTATTCATAAATACGTACCCGTTAGCGATTAGGTGCCATGTGTCAAAATAGGTATAGCCGGCCGGCTATACTATTGATTAAAAACAAAAAGCGGCCGGCGTGTCACCGTATAGCCGAACGGCTATACTAAAAGTGGTATAGCCGTTCGGCTAGACTAAATCAGGCTCTATATAATATTTTAATATAACTTATATAATACTTCAGCCTCTATATAATATGTTAAAGAGTATTCACGTATTAATAAATAGTTCAGCCTATATATAATATTTTAATTTAACTTATTTAATTTATTTAATATATGTTATTTTTATTCAATAATATGTGAAAATTATGTGTACAATACGTGAATTTTGTATCTATTACTGAAAATTTTGTATTTCTATTATGTCAATTGTTCATCCAATGTGCTTGCCAATTGGGTGAAGATATTATTTTTCCATTTCTTATGGGGCGAGAAGAGATGGAGAGGTCTTTTTCTAACTCTAATCTGAACCGCAGATTGTAATTTGTACCCTATTAAACTTTTTGAGCTTTACTAAGTATCAGCTGCTGAAGAATTTTACATTGATCATTAAATTCTGAATCGAAAATTCTTTTAAGTTCTTTGTCGATGATGATGATGATGATGATGATGATGATGATGATGATGAAGATTCAGGAAGCAGAAGAATTCAGATGGCAAAAGAAGGGCACCTTACTCGTCACTCACTACTACCCTCTTCTGTCCCGGTTTCGTCAATGGCTACTGGAGAAGATACGAAGATCACATCCTCCAAGCACAAGATTCATCACTATTGACGATGCCGATTATCATGATCATGATAAATTCTCTTCAAGCCATCAACCACAAGCAGCTAGGGAAAAATGAATTCAGTGGTTCGAATGTCAAGTTTGCACCCATCCAAAAGATAACAATTTCCATTGCTTTCACCAGTATTTCCAATTCAACAGTCTCATAGCCGGAGCAATCGTCCTCACACCCCATTGGCTATCTCATTTTCCTTTTTTTGCATGTATTTAAATGATTTTAATGTATTACTATGGTCAGATTTCAAACAGAAGCCAAAATATGGGCATATAGCAGGCAAGGTATATGTGCTTGAAAGGCTCTAGTCACTTCATACAGAAGAAACCAAAATTCCAAAAGTCTGCATTTTTAAGCCAAAGCTCCAAATGTGAAGCACCTATCACGATCTTCTCATGGTATTCCTACTCCTCAAGGTAAGTATCCCTTATTCTTTCCAGCATGCTGTTTAGCAAGTATGCTACAGAACAGTATGTGGCACAACAGCATGCTGGAAAAGTGATCGGAGACATCTTTTGATATCTTCAATACCCAGAGGTTCTAAGAAATCATCAGAATAGAAGAAAGCATCTCAAGTGCAAAAACATTGGACCAAACCAACCGCATGTTATGGCACACATCTCTATAGTGTGCAAATCAGAAGAGTTAATAGGAATAAGAAGCTCCAAAAGATTGAGATCAACTCAGGCTTTGAGCACAAACCAATCTGTTAGTTTCTTACGCCAACTAATCTCAAGTTCACAAAAGTCATTATGATTCATTACTAATTTACTACCACCAGCTCACAAAACAAACCCACCCATTGAAATGAATACCGAGCTATCATTCAAGTGTATCAAACTTGACATCATTCTTACTGTAACTAATAACTGTTAAAAGTAAAACTCAAAATTCCGAACCTCCTTTGTTCAATTCTTGCATCATTTTCACTTTATGCTGCATTCCATAAAATTCCACAATTTGCAGTGGTAACTAACACTCTTCACTCACATAAACTAAAACATGACGGTTGCTACAAAACAGAAGATCCACATTCAAGCTCCATACAAATCAAAATCTACAGTTTATTTCCTCAAGATGCGCCTACAAATTGAAGATCCACATTCATACTCAATTCAAGTCAAAATCTACACTTTATTTCCTCAAGCTACTCCTACTTCAGAAACACTACAAGCATTTTTTTTATATCCCCCATTCTAGAAAACCCCAAATCTGGAACTCAATTCTTTTCTTCATTTCTCCTACATTTTGTCAATTGTCACCAATAAAACCAACATAGAAAAAAAACATGCAGATTGCAGCAGACATCACAATAAACAATTCAACATTCCAACATAATCAAATCATGAAATTGAGCAACAATTCTCTTAATTCTTACACAGAATCGAAAACATTTCATCACAACATAAAAAACTGGTTCCAAATTTCCACCAGAGCCAGACAATCGCATTATTATATCCAAAAGCAGAATAAAGCCCGAGTCTTTCAAGACCCTAATCTTATGGGATGTCCCAGGGTTTGGGCTCGGGAACAGCGACGACCATACCTTGAAGCTCAGGAGTGAGGACGACCTGGCATCCGAGCCTGGAGTGCTTGTTGAGAACCCTAGCCCTAGAGTTCCTCTTGAGCACGTACTCCTCGTCGTAGGACCGTGGCGGGAGCTTTTCGAACCATTCCTGCGCGATATTGACCTCGCATTCGGCCGAGCAGGCGTCGATATCCTCGAGCCGGTGGGAGGCCGGGTCGATCAGACCGCCTTGGGCTAGGGCCCGGAGCAGAGTGTGGCCCGATAGGCCCACCACCTCGCGCTTGCGCCCATCGACGTCGATCGCGAAGAGCTTCACAATTCGATCGGAGACTTTGGCTGAGTGGGTGGGTGAGGATGGGGATGGGGATGCAGAGGAGGCGGAGGATCTGGAGATGAAGGAGAGAGAAGGCAGGCGGTGGTGGATTTGGGAGTGACGAAGTCTCTGAAGGCTCGCCATCGCCATTTTGCTTGTTTCAGGTTTGGGGACGCTTTTGGCTGTCGACTGTGACAACCTGTTTGGTTGGAAAGAACAATGCTTTATTGTAAAAACTAAAAAAAAAAGGAAAAATAGAAACTCCAACAAGAAAATAGAAAAACAGAAAAATTAAGCATGTTTTAACTCCTAATACCAAAGATTTTTTTTATAAAAAAAATTAGAAATAACTGCTTTTTATGTAATCCAGTGGACTTTTTTCTTGTTTAATTCAGGAAGAAACAACGAGAATTAGAATTTTTATAGCAAATGCAAGATAAAGTGTTTTACCATTGAAGTTACGAGTC